CCGTTGAAGTCCCTGAGATGAAGTCCACCTCGCCGCCGCGCCTGGATCGCGGCTCGCACGCGTAGCTCTGGGCCGAGTGCCAGAAGCCGTTGCTGAGCCCGGTTTGGCGAGACCTCGCCACGCAACCTCCGCCGTTCCAGGGCCGCCACCTGCGCCAGCTTGCGCCGTGTCCAACGATGGCCCCCATTGTCGACATGTCTGGCATGGCCTGTCTCGACAGGTTGCGTTCGGCATCCTGGCGCCGCTCCCTTCACAGGGAAGATTTCCACCGGATGGGGCAGGCAGCGCGGGTGCCATTCGAACATGTGCAAGCCAAATTCGACATCCAAGCTCACCGAGTGCGCATCGGAGTCAACAGGCCAGCCCCTGCGATGCACCTCCTGGTTGCCGATCGTTTGCATGGCGATGCCGATTCCACGGGGCCGCTGCTCCGAGGACAGGAAGATCCCACCCATGTTGTCGTCCTGAAGGTACGAAGGCTTGGTGATGATCTCAAACTGTTCAACCCGAAGATCGATGGCCGCGCCCGTGATCTCATTCAGGCTGTTGACATGGTCCGTCATCCTTTCGCCGCGACTCTGGTCCGACATCAAGCAGGGCTCGATGACCTCGCGTCTACGAGGCCAGAACGCAGCACCTCGCGGGTGCGCGCCGATCCCCTAGAGGCCGCCCACGTCCGATAAGCAGTTGCCCCACGTGTTGAGCAGACCGTCCGTCCCTCCACTCCTGGAGCGGGGCCTCCTCGCACGCTTCAGTCTGGTGGCTGCTCGTGCCCGCCGTCGCTCTCACGCAGAGATGGAGGCCGCGTGGCCCCTCTTCTCTCAGATGCCTCATGGACCCGGCATGCCACCGGCAGGCGCACGCAAGGAAGCATTGCGGGCGAATGCCCAGAGCGATTGCGACATTCATCACGACATGCGGCGGCAGGTTGCGGTCGTTAACGCTGAAGTCGGTCGTCGGTCGGCTGTGGTGTTGCTGAAGTCGGTCGTCGATGGGTCGTGTTGCAGGAGTCGGTCGCGGTGCTGCTGGAGACGGTCTTGGTGTGGCTGGGCGGTCGCTGGGGTAGGTTGATGCTTGGTCGTGGCGTTACTCTCGAGTCGCTCTGCTGGGGTTGGGGTCAGTCGCCAATCGAGGTGCTGCTGGAGTCTGTCGCGGTGTTGTTGGTGTCGGCCTGCTGGAGTCGGTCGTGGTGATGCTGAGACTGTTGGTGGTTTCGTTGATTGGTCGGTCGGTGGTTGGTCGCAGAGCTGCTGGTCGGTCGCTCTGGTGGTGTCGGTCTTTGGTTGGTCGTGGTGCTCTTGGTGTCGGTTGCAGTGCTGCTGGCGTTGGTCTAGTGCTGTGGATGCCGGCCGAGGTGTTGCTGGAGTCGGCGGCGGTATTGCTGGAGCTGGCAGTGTTGCTGGAATTGGTCGTGGTGCTGCTGGGTGGTCGATGGGGTCGGTCGCCCGTTGGTCGTGGTGCTGCCGGTTGGTCGCTCTGGTGGCGCTGGGATCGGCCGCTGGTTGGTCGCGGCGCTGCTGGAGTCGGTCGCAGTGCTCCTGGTGTCGGTCTATTGCTGTTGTCGGCCGAGGTGTTGCTGGAGCTAGTCGCGATGCTGCTGGAGCTGCTCGCGGTGCTGCCAGAGTCCGTTGCGGTGTTGCTGGTTGGTCGTTGGGGTCGACCGTTGGTTGGTCGTGGTGCTGCTGGTCGGTCGCTCTGGTGGCGCTTGGGTCGGTCGCTGGTTGGTTGTGGTCCTTCAGATGCCTCGTGTCTCTGGCGAGCCACCGGCAGGCGCGCGCCAGGGAGCATTGCGGTCGAACACCGACGGGAACCGCGATCTTCACCGCTAGGCTACACAAGCGAAAACTAGTGCTTCAGGAGCACGCTCAGGAATAATATTGCGCACAAGAAGAGACGGGGGGTCCCCGAGGCGGCGGCAGAACGCGCGCGCTCGATTCCCAGCCAAGAGCACGCACTTCGCATTAGTAGGTATCAGAATGCGGCCAGATCCGAGCCGATCGCGTGCATGGGTCGAGACCACGCAGAGCCCGATCCTGACAGTCCCAGACATTGCATTCGGTTCTACTGTCGGCCAAGCAAGTTCGCACTGCACACTTCCGCGAGTTCTCCCAGACCTCGTTGTCCCCAGGGATCCGCGCACACGGCGGGCCACGCATGGGCCCGCCCGAAGGAGCTTGCGGCCCTGGGCCGCGGGGGGGGGGAGGGGCGCAACCCCAGAGGCAGGAGGAGGGGCGTCGGGCGGCGCGCCTGAATTCGAGGCGGACGCCCGGCCCCTCCTCTAGCTGTCCCGCGGCGGAATCCCCGGCTCAGTTCTGGGCCCCGAGACCCTGGAGGCGCGAGGCGCTGCCGCGGCACATTTGAAAGCAAACGCCACAAGAACGCAGGCTCTGCCACGCATTCCTCGACAGCACAGGCCAATTCCGAGGCTGCCGCGGCCGCCCCAATCCGGGGGGGGCTGGGCCACGAGCGCCGAGGCGAGGCGGGCGCGAGGAGGGCGGGGACGACAGCAGCAGCAGCAACAGCAGCGGCAGCAGCAGCAGCAGGCCGAGAGTGAACAGGCAGAAGATTGGAAAGGACCCACTCCTGCCCAGGCCGTGGCACTGGCTGGCCCTGGAGTCGCGGCTGGGCCTCCTCGGGCGCGGCTTGTTTTTGCGGGCCAGTCTGCCTTCTGCTCGGGAAGCTTCGGGCGGGCCCGCCGGGTCAAAGTGCGATTCCCGTTGATTCGACAGCGTCGTCGGAACGCGTCCGCTGAGCTCCCGCTTCTTTCCATGCCGTTCCTCTTGCTGCCCCCGCCCGCTCTGCCGGCGCGTTTGGCGGCCCGAATTCTATGGCCCTTGGCCGACTGAGCTGCGCGATCCTAGCAGCGAGAGCAGAATAACAAGCAATATCCACGATCCCCCGCTTCCCACTGGCAGCCGGGAGCGAGGCTCGCCATCCCGGCCTCGGGGCCGCGCGCATCGGCAAGACGACGTCCGCGACTCGCCCATCCACATTGGAATTAAGCCCATTTGATTCCGGCTGCTCATCGCAGCATCGCCCGAGCCTGCGACGCCAACCGCCCCCGCCGCCCCTCCGCCAGCGTTTGCGACGCCAGCTACTCCCGCAGCCTCCACCACGCCAGCGTCTGCGACGTCGGCGGCTACTCCTGCGGCCTCAATCCCGCCAACGTCTGCGACGTCAGCATTCGCGCCTCTGACCTCCAAGCCAGCGCCTGCGACGCAGGCCCCGGCGCGCGACGCCGACTCCTACTCTCGTTCATGGCGGCGCCGAGCGAAGTGACGCGACTACAAGCAGCAGGTCAGTTCGTTGAGGCGCAGCGAGAATCTGGGAGCTTCCAGATACCGGCTTCCACCATGGCCATGAATTCTCGACGCGTCGCGCATCCCCACCAGTCCATCCAGAAACGACGCCCGCGAGAGTTGACGGGGGGAGAGAAGAAAAGACGCGCATAGTCACACAGCGAGGGGGGCTTGGGAGGCTTCGAGGCCATCTCGAGCCGTCTTGGGGCGGCCTCGGTGCCGCTTGGAGCATCTTGGGAGCCATCTGGAGCCAGCTCGGGCTATCTGAGCCATCTTGGATGTCATCTCGGGCTTTCTGAGGCCGCTCGGGGGTCTCTTGGGGGCCTCTCGGGTGCCTGTTAGAGACATCTCGCGGTTGTTTGGGGCGCTCTTTGGGCCCTCTCTGGGGCCTCCCTGGAGCCTTGGGGGGCCTCGTGGGGCAAGATTGGAGGCGGTTGGTCAAGCGAACAGGGGCGTTAGATTGGCGCCCCCCCATCGGGGGCCGCGATCCTCGCGGGGGGGGGGGGGGGGGGGGGCAAGAATTGACCATCCCAGGGGGCGAAGACAGGGGCCTCCGACACATCGGCCCGGCCCCCAAGCCAAAAAAAAAAACGGGGGGGTGCTCCCCGAAGGGAAGAAGGGTTGTGGAAGAGGAGAGAAGCCCACCTTGCACCACCTGTCGCCCAATGGGCTGGGACTAGTCGCGCAGCGCGCGTTCGGCGGCGCTCGGCGAGGAGGCGGGCGACCTGCGCCCGCCTGCGAACGTCGACATGAAGGGCCCGCGAGATGCAGGAAGCGACCGCAGCGTTGAGGATCTCACTGTCGCTCGCAGAAGCGTCCGCCAGGACACTGTGAAGGGGCAGGGTTCTGTCCTTCACAGACCCAGTCTGTGAAGGGGCACGCCGCGAACCCCTTCGCACATGTAGCTGTTGCCCCAAAAATCTCGCGCCCGCGCGTGAGCACATGATGCCGCCAACATCCAAAACAAAAAACATATAACATGTTGTTACCAAAAAATGTGCAGTTATATGATACAGTAACGCATGATACTTTCGGAAATACGTGCGCACGCGTGTGCGACGCGCATCTGGACGACATTTTTCGCGCTAGCGCCGTCATGTCCTGACGGCGGGGGACGCCCAGCTCCTGCTCTTACTACGACCGAGGCGACCCCCTCAGCCCACGCCACGGGGGGCTGGATGCGAGGACGGGGGGAGAAGAAAAGGGCGAGGGGGGCCAGGGCGTCCAGAGCTCCGACGACGACGCCGACAGCGAGGAGGAGGAGGACGACGACGAATCGACGACGAGGACGACGACGACTGCGACTGCGACGGCGACTGCGACGTCGAGGCGGGCCGCTCAGCCGAGGATGCGGCGACGCCCTGGCCAGCCGCCGTCGGGGCGGGCCGCTCAGCCGAGGATGTGGCCCACGCCCTGGCCAGCCGCTTGGCTCAGGGGGCAGGGGGGGGGGCCCGCCGGCCGCGCAGCCGCGCCTCCTCATCCATTCCTCCTCGTCCATTCCTCCATCCACATATCCCGACCTCCTCCCTCCAACCCCCCTCCAACCTTTGCTTCTCGCCATCGCCATCGCGATCGCGATGCACAGTTACTAAACTTAACACCCCCTCGCCCCCCTCCCCCCGCCCACTCCTTTCGCCGTCGGCCCTCATTCCTTATCCAGATCCTCATATCCTCATCCCCCTATCGCCCCATCGCCGCCCCTCACTCATCCACGTCTTCGTCGCCGTCGCACCCCTCGCCCTCGGCGGAGCGGAGGCGGCCCGAAAGCGCGGTCCTTCGGAGCCGTCGCTGCCGCCTTCTCCTTGACCTCCCAGGAGAACTTGGGCCTCGGGAGCGGCAGCAACTTATCGCCGTCGGCGGCGATGCACTGCTCGTAGGGGCCCTCGTCGATTACGAGGGAGTGCCACTTGATGGCGACGGGCCCGAGCTGCACGTCCAGCGGGTGGAACGCCGAGGGGTCCAGGATCGGGCACTCCTTGACCTCGTGGGCGATCGTGAGGGTGCTCTGCTGCGCGTCGCTCGCCGTCGGAATGGACCCAGAAGAATGGAGGAGGATGGATGGGGAGGGGGGGAAGGGGTAGGAGTAGGAGGACGAGTGGACGAGTGGGACATTGGAGAATGACGACGACGACGACGACGACGACTGCGACGACGACGACGACGACGACTATGGGAAGGGCGAGGTTCGCAATGCCCCATGAGCCATGCTGGAGTGCTCGCTCCGCCGCGGACGTCTCGGAAGTTCGGCCACGGCACAACCAGGATATTGAAGTGCACGCCGTCGATTGCGAGCTCGCCGACCTTGATTTGCGGCCCGCCCCCGCAAGTCGCACCTGGGCCGATCGTCGCGCCGCTGCCCCTTCCCCCCGCCACCCCACTTGGAGATAAGAGGAGGGCGTGGAGGCGTGAAGGCGTGGAGGGCGGGATGGGGGAGGGGGGAGGGCAGGAGGGCAGGAGGCGGGGGGAGGCGAGGGCAAGGGGGAGGTGAGGGGGGGGAGGAGGAGGAGGAGGAGGAGGAGGAGGAGGAGGAGGAGGAGGAGAGGGAGGAGGAGGAGGAGGAGGAGGAGGAGGGGGAGGAGGAGGAGGAGGAGGAAGAGGAGGAGGAGAGGAAGGGGAGGAGGAGGGGGAAGGTGAGGAAGGTGGCGGGAGGAGACGGAGGAGTTGGAAGATCGGCAGCGCCACTGCCCCACCACCACCCACTCAATCCCCACCCCGCCATCCCTCGGACGGCGGGGCCAGTTGGGGGGGGAGGGAGGGGGGCGGAGCGCCGCCACTGTTCCAACCAACTCCGAGTTGTCATTTCATTCAGGCGTGCACCTGGCGCGAGGACGATGCGCCCAGCGAAATGCAACTTGACCATGCCGCGACCACTAGGGCCGTCGCCTCGGCGGCCCTCGACGTCCAGGAGGAGCTTCACGGTCCCCTTCGCGTTCGCAGCAGCCTGCGCCCGCGCCTCGGAGCACACCACCCACTGAAGCCCCTGGTCAACCATGGTCACACACGGCTGTAGAACTTGAGACGGCCGCTCATCAGGCTTCTTCTCGGGCGCATCCACGCGCATCCACTGATCGGCGGCCCACTTGCTGATCACGTCGGCTGCGCGCTCAGCAGGACGTCATCAGCGCGCTGCTGCCATCCATCGCCCGAAACAGCTGGAAGTACTTCTTGTCGCCGATCTCCTTAATGCCAGCGGATTCCAAGCCCGCGTCGATGCTGGCAGCCGTGGCCTCGCCTAGCATCAGCGGCTCAGTCCTCGATGCGGGGATCTTGATGTGATCGATCCCCTTGCTAAGGGCCACCTCCACCAACGATTTCCACTGCTCAACCTCCTTCTGGACAGCCGCCTTCTGGGCGCCAAGCCGATGGTTCACCACGAGGTTCACCAACACGTCCTTCGCCTGCGAGGACAAGTTCTCGGGAAGCTCCTCCGTGGGGATCTCCTCCTTGATCAGCGCGATAATCTGAGGCTTGGTCTTGACAGAGACCGATGACTTGATGCCGTTCTGCTTCATCCTCCAGACAGCCTCGCTGGGCTCTACCGCCACGCGGTCGTGGAGGCGGCCCCCCAGCTCGATCACCTTCACCCGCGCGTCGGCCATGTTGTCCGACTTGGCGAAGAGACTCCGCAAGAGGTCCCTGGACGCGCCGCCGGCCTGGTCGAGCTTCTCAGCGAACTCCACCCCGCGCTCGCAGAAGCCGTGCGCTTCAGGCGACACATCGGCCTGCATCTCGGCGACTACCTTCCGCAGCAAGAGATTCGAGTACATGAAGCGCGTGAAGTGTGACCATTCCAAGGCGGCCTCAGTCTTCCAGAGGCTCTCGGCGAAGGCCGCCACTGCGGGGTCCACCGCCTCGAGGAAGAGCGCCCACTCTGACCGATCGGGCTGCTTCGCCTGCTCCTCACGAACCTGCTTCACCTTCTCCGCGCCCTTGCGAACAGCCCCAAGCAGCCGCAACAATAGACCAGACAGCTTGAAGAAGTTCGCGGGCACCGTGGAGTCGACAATCTTCATGGCCATGTCCACGAAGGTCGAGGAGATGGCAGGCCCGTCCCCCTTCGCAAACTCGCCGCGGTTCTGGCTCTGCTGGGTCGCCTTCACCGCCTTAAGGACATGGCCGTTCATGCGCGTGAACGCGACGTGCGTTGCCTTGATCTCGCCCGAATGCTCGCAGAAAGGGTTGTCGTTCATGAACTCGCGCAGCGCCGACTTCAGCCTGTTCCTCATCTTCATGTCGTTGCCGATGATCGCCAAGATGGCGGCAGCGGAGGTGGCCACCTCGTCACCGTCGTCATCCGCAGCGCCGACCTCCTGGTGGTCGCGGCCGTCGCGGCCATCGCCATCAGCAGCTGCGTCTCTGCATTCTAGCCCGTGCACCGCCCGCAGGTGAGTGTAGATGCGAGGCCGAAACTGGGACCACTTGGCGAACTTCTCGCGGGTCACCTCCACGCCACCGTCGCCGTTCAGGCTGAAGGCGAACTCCAAGGGCCCATCGTTCTGATCCTTGATGCCGAGTCTGCAGCCGTAGCGCAGCATCTGCGCCATCTGCGCGCCGTCCCTCTGGTCGGGGGGCACCTCGCGCACGGCGTGGAAGATGATGTTGATGACATCGTCAAGGTAGAGCGTCGCGCGGCTGCCTGCCTTCGGCTTGACGGAAGCAGAGCAAGCGGCAGCGGCCTGCGGGGGCCCTGGAAATCCACGCATCCATGCAGGCGCGCACGCAGCCCGCGGGCAGGACGAGCTACAAACCACAAGCCCCCAAACCTCGTCAAACCCAGTTCAAGCCCAGTGCTTGGGTGCCTGGGCCGGCGGGGCCGAGGGGCCCGCGGGTTGCGAGACTCCCGCCCGCGACAGTGCGCTGCAGATGCATGGATGCATGGTTCGCCAGGGCTGCCCCGATGCACCTTATTTTTCGACGCTGCCTTGCCCTTGGCGCCCTTGGACTTGGCCTTCGGGCTCGCCGCCTTCATCCGAATCGTCTTCCTCGACGGGGTCAAGTCAAGGGCATCCTTGAACACCTTGGAGGTGGCCATGGGGGTGAACAGCCTCGTCAACACTTTGCAGTCCTTGGGGGTCTTGAAGAGCCACCTCACGTCATTGTCTGGGTGGTTAGTCATCTCCGCATCCCAAACGTCGCGCTCAGCCTCGTCCCTCTCGAAGACAGATGGGACCGCGTGTTTCAACATCTCGGCCATGGCCTCGTTGAAGGCGCCCTTGTACTCAGCCTTGTTGAAGTAACTCTGGATAGTCTGGAACGCCCCGAACACCTGAGTCGACCTGAGTAGTTCGGATGTTTTTTTTGTTGCAAGGAGAAGGCAAGGGGATCGGAAAGCATATGTCACCGTTTTGTGGCCGACAGACCGACCAAAGGCAACGCCGCTGCCCGCTGCCATGGGCCGCGTGCCATCTAGCGGGCTACCCGAGATCACAACATCACAACATCACAGCGATCACAGCCATCACAGCCGATCCGATCCGATCGACTTGGTAGAACCCTAAAACCCAAATCGGGCCCCAGGGTCCGAAGACTCATCCGACAACGACCCACGACCCGACCGATCTGACAGAATGACAGAATCCTAAAACCACATCTGGAGGATCCAAGAATTCAGCAAATTGATCAGACCAAAAGGGCCAAAACGAAATCGGGCAACTTAGGCATGGGCTTCATTGACGAGTCCTCGAACGCGACGCAGTCCCCCCACCAGGCGGTAATCTTCTCCCAGACGCCCATGGCATCAACCTTCGTGCGAAAAATGTTCGCCTTCGTGAATTCCTCCCTGGACTGGAACACGTCGCCGTAGTGGTCCTGAATGAACTTGCTGTACGCAGTGTAGAAGCCCGACTGGCTCCTCTTGCCGCCGCCTGTGGGAGGGCGAGCAAGCGACGCTCGGGCCAAGCCGACGGGGGCATAGGCCGAAAAAGGGCCGAAGAGGAGGCGGGAGGACGGGGGCGGGGGGGGGGGGCAGGAGGATGGAGTGGCCGTACCCCCATCCATCGATCGTTGGCCACGCTCCCCACGCTCCCTCAGGCCTTCTTCGCAGTCGCCCTCCGCCTCCTCATCCTCGGCCTCCTCGCCAGCCTCGCCAGGGTCTTCGGCGTCGGCTTCGGCACCGCCTCCCTCGCCCTCTCCGCCCTCGCCTCCATCCTCCTCGGCCTCGCCCTCCCCCTTGCGCTTCTTGCGGAGCGCTGCCCGATGCTGCTGCCAATTGGCCGCGACGACGGGCGCGAGCTCGAGCTTCTCGAAGAAGCTCGCGGTGCTGCCGATGGCCACCAGCTTATTGCATTGCACTCTGATCCAGTACAGCGCGTCAGGGGGCGCGTTCGGATTGAGGAGCTGGATGCGGGGCACCTGGGCGGGGAGGGGAGAGGGGGGGGGCGGGGGGGCAGCGTAGAGAGCGCGAGAAGGAGGTGGTGAGGAGGTGAGGATGAGCCCAAGGTCGCAAAATCAAGTGCAATGCATGTAATGCCGCAACGACCCACCCCCCTCCGCGATCGAATTAGCATTCCCGTGCACCTAGTGGTCGATCATCGATAAGACCTGCTCGTTCTTCGGGGCGTCCTTGATGGCGTTGTAGCAAGCGTCCAGCAAGGTGGCCCCACCGAGCGCCCTCAGGACCCACTTGCTGGGGTCAAGGCAAGTGGGCTGAACGACGATATCTCCCGCCCTATCAGACCAAGACACGCCCTGCTTGAGAATCAACTTCTTGTAGTGCCGCATTGCCCCCCGCTGGCGCCGCTGATTAAGTGGGTGCCTGATGAAGAGCTTCTCGCCGTCGCTGCCGCCGTCGCGGAAGAATGGCTGCGCGCCAATCCACGGCGCACGTAGTCTTTCACAAACTGGGGGAGGGGGGATGGGGGGGCGGCAACCACGTCCAAGCAAGCAGGCATTCCGTTCCTCGGCCCAGGGCCAGGGCCCGACCCAGGAGCCCCAGGAGAGCCCAAGCGACTAAGTGGGGATCGGGCGGGCGGGTGGCGGGGGGGGAGTGATGACCATGGGAGACAACCCGGGCGACTGGGCGACGGACCCGACGCTAGGAGGTACCGAGGTACCGAGGTACCAGGTTTAGGTTAGGTCGAGATTGGAGGATCGCCGATGGGCACTTGTGCTCGAAGGATGGCACCGACCTTGCCTGGGTGGCGCGCCTCGTAGCTGCTGTAACCCAAGTCGAAGGCCGCGCCCATGGAAGCGTCGCTGACCTGGGGGTGGCGGGGGCGGGGTGCGCTGGGTCTCTCTGAAGAGCGCCGTCCGCGCGGGGTCACGGGGTCACCAGGCGTGCGAGGGGTGCGCCCACGTTCGATGGCGAGGGCATTCGACATCGTTCCCACGGGCACACGGGAGTGCCAAGGGGCCCAGGAAGACCAGACCTGTCCGACGGTCCGACGGGAGCCCCAAGACAGATTCAAGCAAGGCAAGACAGCCCCCCCCCCCCCTGACACTGTGACACTGACACCCCACGAGGCCCCCCCGATCATGATCGCGCCCCTTCAGGACGGTGGGACCGAAGCGACGGGGGGTCAGGACGGGGAGCAATGAAGCCGAAGGCTTGGAATCAGGAGGAGTGGCTATGAGACGGAAGGGAGGAAGGGAGGGGGGCAAGCGAGGATACATGTAATTCGAATTTTAATTCGAACGAATTCTGTCCCGATGCGCCGAGGTGTGCGCGGCTCAAGCCGCGCCCAAAACACTCTTATGTCCAGCGCGTCCAGCGCGGGCCCGTGCGGCCCGCGCGGTACCGTCGTCGCGTCGTCGTCGTCGTCGTCACGTCGCAGTCGTCGTCGTCGCCGTCGCGGTGCTCCTCCTCACCCCCTCACCCCCTCACCGTTCCATCGCTGTCGTTGGGTCGTCGTCGACGTCGTCGGCGTCGCCGTTAGTTAGTATGGCTGGAGCTGCTGGAAATGCGCCGCCGAGTGGCCCGAGTCCGAGCCGCAGTCCGAGCCCGGCGCCCCAAGACATGGCGTCGGCGGCTGCATAACCGCAAAACCTCGCTTAGTGGCTGGCGTCGGGGGAGACATGGCGGCAGCGGCCCTCGAGAGCAACTGTGAGCTCAAGCACGCCGCAAGGAGGTGGTTGGGCGGAGGCGAGTGGGGCTGCTTCGGAGCCGCCCGAGCCGCCCGAGCCGACGGCGCCCCTATGAAGAGAGCACTCGCTGAGATCCCTGGTAGCAAGGTCGGTGTCATGGGGGAGGGCGCGCGTGAAAGGGAACACTGGACGGCGTTGCCGCCGCCGCCGCCGCCTCCGCCGTCTCCGCAGCCGCTGCCGCCCATGCCGCCCATGCCGCCCACGCCGCCGCATGCGCCGCATGCGGGGCCCGCGCCCCAGCCCTCGGTGCCCGCGCCGCCGCCGCTGCCGCCGCCCGCGTGGCCCGCGCCCCCGCCGAAGCACGCGCCGCCCATGTCGCGCGCGTGCACGTGGCCCGTGCCCTTGCCGCCCGTGCCCTTGCCGCCCTTGAAGCCCTTGAATGGGCCCGTGCCGTCCTTGCCGCCGACGCCACTTCCGCAGCCGCCCTTGCCACCCGTGCCCGTGCCAATGCCGCAGTCCGTGCCGCCGCCGCCGCCCGCTCCGCCGCGCGTAGGGCCCTCGGCCGACTCGCCGCCGCCGCCGCAGCCTTGCGTGACCGTGCGCTGAGGCTGAGGCTGAAGCGGCTGCGGCTGCTGCGGCTGCTGCTGAAGCTGAAGCTGGAGATCACGATGCTTGCGAAGCTCACCGTGAAGGACTTCACGGTGGCCGCCGCCACAGCTTGCCTCGACAGCCGCAGAGATCGCAGCCTGCGGCCACGCGCGCGAGTCGGCCGTCGACGACGACGGGCCTGGCACCGTAAACCTCATCGCCCCATCCCTGTGCACGTAATATCCGCCGCCGCCGCGCGAGCGGTCGAAGAGTCGAAAGGGCATTGCGTTTTTCATGTTCCTCATCCTCCTCTTCTTCCCCTCTTCCTCGTCCTTATCATCCTCTTTTCTCCTCCCCCTGATCAGTGGGCCCCATCCTGGATTCTAAATTATCTGGTGCCATGCCCCCCCCCCATCGCTTCCCCCCCCCCCCTCCCCTCCGTCCGCCGCATCTGCCCCCCCCACCCCCCCCCCCCCCCCTTACCCCCCCCCCCCCTCCTCCCCCAGTTAGGCTTAGGCCCCCCCCAGCCCCCCCCCCCCCACACACCACACACACACACACACACACACAAACAACACACAACACACACACACACACACACACAACACACACACACACACACACACACACACACACACACACACACACACACACCAACCTCGGGATGAGCGGGATGAGCCGAAGGCTCGGGGAGAGGAGCCCCGACACTGAGGTGGACTGTCGGGCCTCCCAGCTGCGCCCCGTCAGCGACTGAACCATGTTAGTGAGCCCAGCCATGAACGCTGGAGGAAGTCGATTGGAATCGGGGAGATGCTGATTCATAATCGAAATTGAGACGTGAGAAGCTCTGCTAACTCTGCTAGCGCTGCTGTATTCGAGTCCGGCTGGCTGCGGCGGGCGTCAGACATCGTGGGCTCCAAACAGCGTTGTGCAACTGACATGCGTATGCTCGCGGGTGCGATATGCAAGGGCGCGAGGGGCCGATGGGCCGATGGTCGCTTGGTCGCCTGTCTCGGGCTCGAAGGCCCACGATGCAAGCACTCGCTGTTGGGGCCGCTGTTGGGGCTTGCGCCGCTTAGGGCCACGCTGTCAATGCTGTCAGTGGGGCCGACCCTGGGGCCGACATTTCGCCGCTACGGCCCCGCGCCGAGGAATGGGGGGGGGGGGGGCTGCGCCGAGAAGAAGGCGGGCGAAACGGAACGGGGCCCACAATGGCGAGAGCAGCACTCGGGCAGGCCAAGGGGCCAAGGGAGCAGGGGGGCAAGGACATGGGGGCATGGCTAGGCGGATTGACGACGACGACGACGCGACGACGACGACGACAGATGCGGGGCACCTGCCAAACGCCGTTTTGAAAGTTTACACGCAACCGCCCACGCGGCAAGTCCCACGAGCTAGGGCCCCTAGGGCCTGGAATCGGCCCCCCTCTGATGTTTCTGATAACCAGCGTTTGGTTTCCCCCAGAAACCCACGCCCACGCCCCCATGGCCCATAGAGATATGAAGCCCGCCTTCAGGGAGTCGAGCAGCGCCTTCATCTCCGCGCTCGAGCTCGCGCTCACCACCGCGACCGAGCCCGAGGCGCCGCTGGTGCCGCCTGCGGCGCGGGGCGAGGGTGTTGGGAAGGGGGCGCGGGCGGCGACTCGACGACGGACGGGCGGACGGCGACGGACGGCAACGCGAACCGCACGTGCAATATGGGCGCGGCTTTCAGGAGAGGCTCTGAAAGGACAATAGGGGAAGGAAGAGGGCGGATGCAGTTTCAGTGCCAAGTGAGAGGGTTGGTACCGACTGCCTCAATATCGAGATGCAGTCCTACGCTCCTACGCACGGTCCCCCTAAATATCGATGCCGCCCCACGGCGTTACGGACGGGGGTCGCCGACCTCGATATCGGCACGACTCGCCGCGATAACGGCAGCTGCAGCGGGCGTATATACACTCTGCAGATGGGCTCTGGCTCGAACGAAACGCACGAGCTCACGGGCCTCACGAGCTCGCGAGCTGACAAAAAGACAAGAAGTCCTGACAAACAGAATAGTCTGGCCGCCACGGCGCGGCGCGGCCTAGGCGCGCCCGCGCCGACGAGCCGACGACAACCGAGGGCCGACTAGCGCACCGGAGAGTGGAGTCCTCAATCCTGCCCCCTTCCCTTATTTACTGCGCCCCTCCCCCCCCATCCTCCCTACCTCCATACCTCGCCTCGAGGGGCGAGAGCCGCGGGCCGCCCTCCATCAGAGATGGCGCTCAGAGGAGTCCGACACGAACGATTCGGACTTGCTCATGCCGCTCATGCCAGAGGAGGTCTCCAAGGACGACGGCTCCGACGGCGACTTCGGCGCCGCGGCGGGCTCCGCAGCGGGCCCCGCAGAGGGCGCTGCGTCTGGGTTGGCACCGCCGTTCGAGTCGTCGCCCTTTTCGGCCGACTCCGCGGCCGCAGCGTGCACCGCCGCGGCCTGCCTGAACAGCATGTAAGAGTCCCAGCCGTCGTGGTCGTCGACGTCCTGGCTGGAGGGCAGACTGACGGGGGCGCGCGTATCACAAAAGACCCACCAGGGCCCACTTGGCGATGGCCGCGATGGCCCCAAGGCGAGGGTCCCTAGAGGACCACGTTAGACCCCGAATGCACACACACACACACACATATATATATATATATATATATATAACTATACATAAAGATATATAATTTTGAAACCTCGGGTTATACCCCACTGGGCCTTCCAGGTGACGTCTCGGGCCCCTTGTGGGGCCATCTTGGGGCCCTGTTGGAACCATATCGGTGCATTTTAGGAAGCATATTCGGCACTCCCAGGCTCCCAGGAAGCGCACCCAGATGGCCCCAAGAGGGCGCCGCATACGCTCTAGCGCTCTAGCGTGATAGGGCTGGGCGGGGGCCCTCTCGGGGACTCCTTGGAACCCTCGCGGTGCCATCTTGGAGGCCCCATTAGAATCGTCGCGGGGCAGCCTGTCTGGGGCCGCCTTGAGGGCATCTCTCAAGCCCGCCCCAGGGCACCCTGGGGGGCAGGAGAGGGAAAGGCGTTGCCCTTACCCGAGCCCGAGAGTCCTTGAGGGCCCTCGAAATGCCACCGTGGCTGCGGTGGTCAAGAACCTGCTTATAAGGCAGGAGCCCGCTCGGGACCTCAGTCGGTTGCGGGGGGTCGGTGGGCGGGGTGGGGGGGGAGGGGGAAGG